CCATCTTTCAGTCAAAGACAAGGTTTATTAAAGATCCACCATATTGGCCAGACTCTTAAGGAATCTGAACATTTGTGAGCTATTGGCTAGATTATAAGAATCTGAGCCCATTAATGGAGACAAGATGGACCTTATATACAGAAAGACTAGGAGGGATCTAGGAGTGGCCTAGTTATTTGGGGTGACTGGAGGAGAGGGTCTGGGAAAACGGTATCTTGATGAGGGTGGCCAGTAGGTTGAGAATGGGGTCTAGATAGGATCAAGGATGGGAAGTAGCCAATGGCCAGAGCTGGGCTAGGTTAAGGGTAACAGAGAATTGGTAGATTGGGTGTAGGTGATAAGAAAAGGCCAGTTGATGAGATTATAGCTTCAGGCGAACATTAGAGACTTCCTTGACCTAGTGGGAGAGTTCAAGGAGAATCCAAGGTGGGGTTTTCTGAGACCCATAGACAAATGGGACCCAAATTCTTTTTGGGGTGATGGGCAAAGGTCTCGGCTTGGGCCTGACCCCATCAGTGGGACTGTTGAAGAAAACTCGGAGGTGGAGGTGAGGAGGGGAGAGCATTCCAGGCATGGAAGGCAGCCAGTAAAAATTCCTGATCAGGAGATGGTATTCTCTGTTTGTCCCTCTTTCTCCAAGAGGACCAGGACATCAGAGAGGTGATTCCCTGACATGCAAGTGAACTGGATTTAAGTGAGGGAGGGCTGTGCAAAGTCACCAGCTTCACTTCCTCCTCCAGAGCCATCTGGGTCCAGTGGCCAGATATGGATCAGAACAACTGGAGACAGCCCAAGATGCTGTGGGACACCTTGGCCCTTTCAAGCTAAGGTCTTTAACAGGTCTCAGTTTGACTGAGGCAGCAGCCCATGATTAAGACTTAATAAGAAATGAGGCAGAGAATGGCCTCTTTAAAAAAAAAAAAAAAAAAGATAGATCTGGGAGGGGAAGACCCTCAGGGTTTCTGGCCAAAATAGAAACATTTGCTATTTACATTTCTTCTGAACCAATCTGGGCCCAAAGAGTGAGCAAGTAGGGCGAGGCCTGGGACCTATTGTTGGCTAATCAATGAGAGCCAGAGTGATTTGGGGTTAAGGCTGGTCTTTAAGAGAAAAAAGAAAGTTTCAGAGATTAAAATTTACATTTCCTTTAGGCAGAGCACCTGCAGGTAAGGATGATACCCTATGTGGACAGAGGCAGGTTATGAAGGGCTTTGAATGCCAAATGGAACATTTTGTATGTGATCCTGAAGGCCATAAGTAGCCATGGGAGGTCATTGAGGAGGACAGTGACATAAACAGACCTGAGCTTTAAGAAAATCACCTTGGTGATTGAATGAATTGGGCTGAAAGACTTGAGGAAAGCAGAACCCCTCCTTACCCCAGCAGCAGGCTATTGCAGTAATCCAGGTATGAGGTAATGAGGAGCTGCCCTAGGGTAGGGACAGTGTCATAACAGATGAGATGTTGCAAAGGTGAAATCCACAGGTCTTGGCAACAGACTGGCCATGGAGGTGATGTGGTTTTAGAGGTTCAGGGACCCTCCCAAGGACCGAAATACAGGACCAGGTCTGGAATGAATTCACAGACTCAAGTATTCTTCCAGTCAAGTTGGCAAAAACTTTATTATAACGCTGATATGGTGGGCAGAGCTCCCTAGGAAACTTGCCATGGTGGGCAACCTAACAGGAATGATGCTAAAGCTTATATATAGGAAAAGTAGTGGATTATGTGCCAAGTATGCTAATTAGATAATAACATACAACCTTAGTCACAGGTATTATTTACTACTGGAAACCAGGGAGGGGGTTTCCTAAGAGGTGTGTTTTTGGTCTGTTTCTTCGGTAGCAGATTAGCTTCAGGTGTTGATGTCTATAATTTGACCTCTGGATCATAACTGTGGGAATCAGGACATGACAGTTTTGTTGACCCAAGATAGTACGAGGGCAATGCTACGGAGGTCAGCTTGTTCCTGTAACAGGGAGAGATCGTTGGCCTCCCTGGGCCGACTCCTGAGTTCCTGCCAGAGATGGGGTCCTTGGGCTGGAGGGAAACTGCCAGGGCGAGGCCAAGGAGAAATATGGTCTCGGAATTGGGGTTTGAGTACCGAAGCACCCCACCAAAGGGTAAGAGTGAGAGGACAGAGGATAAACATACACACACACACACCCCCCCACTTTTTTACAGATATAACCTCATTTGATCCTCACAACAACCCTGGGAGATAGGTACTGTTATGATCCTCACGTTACAGATGAGAACATTGAGGCAGTGTTACAAAGATGACCCCAGACTCAATTCCGAAGACTGGTGTCTCAAAGACTTTTTATTAAAGAGGTTGAAGTGCATCCTTTCCATTCCTTGGAAGGGGAGAAATGCGAGTGGAAAAGAAGCCAGAGCAGGCTTTATAGTTAGTAATTGCCTAACTCCTCCTTTCTGGATCAGGATTGGTCCTGATCCTTCTGGGTTACAATCTTCCTTACGTGCCCCACCCCTAACATACATTATGTGCCTAGAATTGTGTTATCGCTCCTCCTCCCTTGACAGAGAAGTTAGCCTGTCTGTGCTGATTTCTTATCTACTTCTGTGGAAACTTAACGCTTTCATTTCTCACAGCAGGCAGAGGTGAAGTGACTTGCTCAGGGTCACACAGCCAGCAAGTGTCAGGGGCCACATTGGAATTCAGGTCTTCTTAACTCTAGGCCCAGTACACTGTGGCACCCCCTACCTGCCTGAGAAAAGGTCATTGGATTTGAATTTCTATTGATTAGTGGGGTTAGAAGCTCCTATAATAGTGGAAACATGTATGTTAACTTAGACTCCTTTATGTTTTAGGCCTCCTTCTTATGATTAAGCAGTTGTTATGTAAGCTGTTTTTCAATAATAAGTATAGTTTGGGAATGACTTGTGTGTCCCTCAAATATGGTAAACCACTGATAAACACTTACTAATGAGGTTAGGAAAGGAAAGTTTTGATTGGTAGTTTTCTTTCATCATAAGCTTAGGTCTATGGCCAATCAAAACTTAGGTATAACTTGTAAACACCCTTAGTGAGATCTTTTTACGGGGGCAAAGAATTGGAAATTGAGGGGATGCCTATCAATTGGGGAAGGGCTGAACAAGATGTGGCACATGATTGTGATGGAGCACTATTGTGCTATAAGAAATGATGAAGGGAGGGCAGCTAGATGGCACAGTGGATAGAGCACCGGCCCTGGAGTCAGGAGGACTGGAATTCAAATCCAACCTCAGACACTTGACATCTACTGGCTGTGTGACCCTGGGCAGGTCACTTAACCCCATTGCCTAGCAAAACAAAGCAAACAAAAACAAAACAAAACAAAAATGATGAAGGGGATGGTTTCAGAAAAACATGAGAAGACTGATATGAACTGATACAGAGTGAAGTGAGAAGAACCAGGAGATCATATATGCACAGTAACAGCAATGTTGTAATGGTGATCAACTATGAAAGATTTAGTTGCTTTGATCAATACAATGATCCAAGACAGTTCTGAAGGACTCATGATGAAAAAAATGCTATCCTCCAGAGAGAGAACCTATGAACTGTGAGTGCAAATTGAAGTATAATTTTTCACTTTCTTTATTTTTCTTGCTTTTTTCCTGCAATATGACTAATATAGAAATTTGTTTTGCATGATTTCATGTGTACAATTGATATATAGCTTGCCTTCTCAGTAGATAGGGGAGGCAGGAAAGACTTTTGAACTCAAAATGAAAACGAAGAATGTTTCAAATTTGAAAAAATTTAAAAGAAGTAATAGAGACGTGGTTAAATAATTTTTTAAATAAAAATAATTTTAATCTTTAAAAAAAAAAAAGAAAATCACTTTGGCAGCTGAGAAGAAGATAGGTTAGAGTGGAGAGAGACTTAAGGCAAAGTGACCAACCCAAGAAAGCAACAACAGTCCCAAGTGTGAGGTGATGAGGGAATACATTAAGACAGTGGCTGTGTGAGCAGAGGGAAGGGGGACAATGGCAGAAATGACAAGATTCGACAAGAAGCTGAATATTTTGGGGGTTTTGAGTGAGGAGACCAGGAGTACACCATGGTTATAGGGAACAGGGAGCATGGTGTTACCCTCTATGGTAATAGAAAAGATGGTGAAGGGGTAAGATGAAATATAGCCAAGCTGCACCCCACAGTACATCCATACAGATCCAGAAAATGTACCAGACCAAATCCTGAGCAGAAAAATCTACGAAAAAAAAAATCACAGTTATTCTTTCCATCCCAGGTCAGCAAAAGGAAACAAACAGGTGTACAGACGTTGGGGATGGGGTCTAGCCAGGAATAGCTATGCAGCGCATTCCAGCACAGGGCAAGAAGAGGTCCCATGTCCGGTTCTATTGCCGGACCCCGAGCGAGCTCCTCTCGGTGGGTT